CAGAAACAAGGACCTTTTTTTTTTTTTTTTTTTTTTTAAAGTCACAGAATCTCCTAAATTAGGAAGGACCTTGGAGGTCACATTGGTACCTTAACAGGTGGTCAGCTAGCCTTCTGCTTGGAGACAGCCTGGAATGGGAGACAGCCCACTCCCTATGGGGCCAGCTCTAGATAAGTTTTTCCTTATACACTTTCCTCACACTGAGCCTGAATTTGACACTGCAACTTCCACCTAATACATCTAATTCTGTCCTCTATGGCTAGTTGGGAAGCTAAGACCAAGGGAAATTTTATGACTCGCCCAGGAGTTACACATATAGTAAATGTCTTTAGGTGAAATTTGAACCCAGGTCCTTTTTATTCTAGTCCTGGAGGGGATCTCCAGGATCCCTTCTGAACTATGAAGAGGCACTACAAATGTACTTAGATACATGAAAAGTCAGCTTTTTGTCCCCATTTGTCCCACGCGTGTCTCTTTTCCCAATGAAAGTGAACAATTAGAATGGACTTTTGCATGCAAAGTTTTGTCCCAAATTTATTCAGGGTTTTTGGTTTTGAAAGGCATTTTCTACCCTGCTACTGTAGACTTGGTGGGGCAACCTACGGCTTTCATTGGGGCGACAAGTGCAACAAGGTTAAAAATAGAACACGCTTTAAGAATCCCAGATATTTTCAGATAACAAAGAGTGATTTATGTGGGCTCATTTTGTGCTTTGAAAACATAGAGACGCCTTTGTACTGTGATTAGCCAGGGTGCTGAGGTCAGTTCTCTTGTCTGGGATCCAGCTTTATTCGGTTGATAAATTGTGCTTTGTACTGTGATCCAGAGAATCTTTGTATCTGCCTTATTAAAGTGTGTAGTTTATGTAATTGCTTTTGTTTTCTAGTTTCATTGGTGCCAGATTCAATGAGAATGACTCATTATGTGACTGAAACAAACATTCTCATGTACGTTGTGGACCTTCCCCCCATCCCCCCCCAAAAAGTAGCAGGTGCTGGTTGGCTAAATTCAATATTTTGGGACTGTAATTTCCTGTGTAGAAAGCTCATCTCACATGTGATGCTCACTCACTGAACCAGCCTGTGAAATCACTGCCTCCACCTCTCTGTATATATTTGTGTGTATGTGTGTGCGTGCGCGCGCGCATGCGCGCGAGCCTGCACTAGTGTGCACACACATTCCCTTTCTTTTATTCCCTTTCCTTTTGTCCATAACCATTTAGATGAGTTCTCAAATGCCCTTTAAAATTGAACACTATGGAAGAGGAAGGGAAACGGGCAGGAACCAAACCTCTGCTGTAGCCCAGGACGGATCCCATTCTTTCCTGCTTTTGTCGTCTTCACTCTTACGTGCATGCCTGTGAACGCACAATCGCTGAATACTAGAGATGACAACACGTGGTTGGCTGCACTCGGGCTCTCAGCCATTTCAGCCTGCTACTCTTTGGGCCCTGGGTTAATGGAAGGAGTTTTATAAACGCTGGGTAGGATCCTGGATGTAGAGCGAAAGGGCTCTCAGAGGCCATGATGTCCACACCTCCATTTTATATACACACTTTACATATGCTTTGTATAGCTTTGTTTCCATGCTGGCCTCCGTGTTAGATTGTAAGCTCCTTGAGGGCAGGGGCTGTCTTTTACCTCTTTTGGTATCCCTAGTGCTTAGCACAGTGCCTACTACGTAGTAGGTGCTTAATAAATTGAATAAGTGAAATGACTTGCCCAAGATCAGAGTTGGGATTAGAACCCAAGTCCTCTGATTCCAGGTCCAAAGCTCATTCCACCGTATCAGCTGCTTCTTTATCTACTTAATTTTGCTTGTGACTGCGTTTGTGTGCACTGTGAATTTGCTTCCTCAATGGGAAAGCAGTACCCGTATGGTAAAACAAGAATTTATATGATACAACATGAAGTGACCACCAAGAAGAGGGGCATTTTGTTTGTCGAGAAACTACCAGGAGGCAGAAACCTCTTAGGAAAAGACAGTAAATTCACATTTCTATAACTCTTTAAGCTTTATAAAGTTCTTTCCCCATACCAATCCCAGGAAGCAGCTAATGCAATTATTATTTTGTCCATTTTACAGTTTTTTAGGGGAATGATGTTTGGGGAAGTTAACTTGTCCATGGTCACAGAGCTGTTGAGTGCTGAGTTAACTTTCAAACCCAAGACACTTGGGCCTGAATGGGGGGAGGGCAGGTCCTATCACGTGCAAAAATTTACTCTTGGTTTATTTTGTTTGAAAAACAAAAATATTGCAGCAATCTTCCCCCCCCCCCCCCCAAGTTACTTAAAAATCAGACTTCTGGCAACCACAACTGTCTGAAACTTGGTTGAGCATTTTTCAAAAGTAAATGGAAAAGATCTCTGAGGCCTCAAAATGACTTGTCACAAAGCCAAAGGGCTTGACTTTGTAGGAAAGGTCCTGGGGGCCACATTCAGAGACTGTTAACTAGATACTTCTAAACAATTTGATTGTTTGATTATCAGGTTAGAAGTGGAGAGGGGCTGCTGGAGATTCACAATTTTAAAGCTACATTTGTTTTTTTTCTTCCTGTAGTGGTTTTTCTAGAGAACATCTTGATTGGGCTTTGAAAAGTTTTTTCAACAACAACAAAAAAATTAACATGTCTTTGTATAGATACGAATTCTTGGTCTTAATCCATGTCCTCTCCTTATATGGCAGATTTGTCTTTCTAAGGCAGCTAAGTGGTGCACCCCCGTAGAGTCAGGAAGACCTGAATTCAAATCCAGCCTCAGATACTTAGTAGCTGTGTAAACCATGGCATGTCACTTAACCTCTGTTTGCCTCAATTTCCTTCTCTGTAAAATGGGGGTAATAACAGTACCTACCTCCCAGGATTGTTATGAGGATTAAATGAGATAAAAATTGCAAAGCGCTTAGCGCAGAGCCTGGCACATAACAAGTGCTATATAAATGTTATCTATCATTAGCTAAAGGGCCATTGCTTAGACTTGTCCATCTTCTGGGTAGTAGGCCAGTTTGATTCAATAGATCATTGTTGAGCACTCTTGGTCCCTTGGGGAGATGCAGTATTTCTGTCTTTTTGGAATTTTTAGGCACCAACAAAGGGATGTGTGTGTGTGTGTGTGTGTGTGTGTGTGTGTGTGTATATATATATATATATATATATATATATATATATATATATATATAATTCAGGAGTCAGTGATAGATGGAGGGAGGATTTTCCAGGCACAGAGCAAAAGCCCAGAGACAATATAAACTGGGTTGTATTTGGGGGGTGGAAAGCAATCCCATTTGGATAGAATGTTGAGGGTATGGCAGACTGTCACAGGAGATAAGTCCAGAAAGGGCTTTCCATGACAGAAGAGTTTGAACTTAACTAGGTAGGACCCTAGGTTCATAGCTTTAACCCTGGAAGGGACTTTGGAGGTCCTCTACAATCTTGTTTATGTACAAGATGAGGAAACAAAGGCCTAGGAAGATGAAGCAGATTCCCTCAATGTCACACAAGAAGCCACTGAAGAGTTTTGAGCTGAGAAGGGGCTCCTCTGCAATAGCTCCTTGAGAAATACTCTCTCTGTCTCTCTGTCTCTCTCTGTCTCTCTCTCTCTCTTTTTCTCTGTGTGTTTTCTAATCCTGCTGCTTGCCTGTTTTCTGGAATACTTGCCCGTTCAAAATTCTACTGTGTGGCAAAACTTCCAAGAAGTCTTTACCTTAGTTTACCAACTCTCAATGATTCAGGGGGTGATTATCTGGTTTATAAATTACTCAGCTACCTTCTTTTCCTCTTTCAGCTTTGCTGCTGCCTTCCTATCGACTATCTCATAATTTATTAGTTAGTATTTCCACTGGAAGATTATAAGGAGTACAAGATGAAATTATAAATTTTTCTTTCCCCCTAATATGATTAACATTTGGAATAAGATTTAGGGAAGATGGAGGTTGAAACTAAAAGATACAATTTACCTTAGTGAACAGGGGCTTTCTCCATGCCTCGGTTATACCCTACCAGGTATTTCATTTCAAGTCAAAGAGAAATACTTTTTGGTTGCCACTGCTACTGTCCATTGTTGTGATGGCTTCTGAAAGAACTTAGGTATGCTATCTAGCAGTACGTTTTGTGTTGGGAGCGAAAAAATGGAAGTCAAATAAAATCCCTCCTTTGATTGGGGAATGGCTTAAACAATTGTAGGATATAAATGGAATGCAACACTCAGGAAGATGTGTCTTTCTGACTCCAAGCCCCATACTTTATCCACTCTGTCACCTAGCTTACCCAAATCTTGTCCATGGCTTCCCATAAATCTTCCCCTGGGGCACCCCCCATTCTCCCAAAGGCCTACTGTGGAAAGTGGGATTTGTGCTCTGTCCTGAAGAAAGCCAGGGAGTCTAAGAAGCAGAGGTGAGAAGGCAGAATATTTAGTTAGTGGCATCTGTCTAAACATGGAGCAGCTAAGTGTAGCAGCGGATAAAGTGCTGGCCTGGAATCAGCAAGACTTATCTTCTTGAGTGCAAATCTAGCCTCAGACATTTCTTAATTGTATAACCTTGGGCAAGTCACATAACCCTGTTTGCCTCAGTTTCCTCATCTGTAAAATAAGCTGGAGAAGGAAATGGCAAACCACTCCAGTATCTCTGCGAAGAAAACCTCAAATAGGGTCACAGTCAGACACAACTGAAAAAACAAAACAAAACAAAAACAAAACCAAACCAGCTGAAACAACACAAATCAGTCTGAACAATGTGGACTGACGGATGAGATGAGCTCTATGTGTCGACCATTCTACTGCATGACCTATCAACACATCATAGTAATAGATCCCCAATATAATGACTGTATTTATATTTTCAGGAAACGTTGCCTTTCATAATGGCAAATAATCTTATAGGAAAAGGATAACTATTTGTTTTGCTACGTGTCTTGTTTTCACATTTTTTATTTTTTCGTGTCTTATTTTTAAAATCATTCTTAATTCTTGAATATTAAATAGATGTTTTGGTTTCTTTCACAGGCATGGAAGAGGAGGTGGTTTGTGCTCCGAAGTGGGCGTTTAACGGGAGATCCGGACGTATTGGAATACTACAAGAACGATCACGCCAAAAAGCCCATCCGCATCATTGACTTAAACTTATGTCAACAAGTAGACGCCGGATTGACATTTAACAAAAAGGAGTTTGAAAACAGCTACATTTTTGATATCAACACTATTGATCGCATCTTCTACTTGGTAGCGGACAGTGAGGAGGAGATGAATAAGTGGGTTCGTTGTATTTGTGACATCTGTGGGTTTAACCCTACAGAGGAAGGTAAGTGCCGGGTTCCATGAACTGAACTAAAACTAAGCTATTGGGGCATCTTTCCTTCTGTGTTTTGTAGAATTATCACAAAGTGATTTCTCGGCTTAAATAGATTGTTTCCCTTCCGTAACACATTAAGAAAGGTACCTGTCTCTTTAATGAGAGAAATATTTGGGCCAGGCCTGTGATTTAATCTATGCAGGAGAATCACACAGCTGTATAAATACACAACTCATCTGCTTTGTCTTAGTTGCCTGGGACCATGGAAGACCATAGAGTCAGTATTCAAGCGTAGGTCTTCCCTCACTGAGCTAGGCTCCTTATACGAGGCATCGTAGTACATAGGAAGGAACGTTGGCTTTGGATGCTTACTAAGCTCCTTGAGGTCAGGGGGCTGTTTTTTGCCTCTTTTTGTATCCCCAGTGCTTAACACAGTGCCTGGCACAGGGTAGGCAATTTTGTTCTTGCTCAGTTGTTTCAGTTGTATCCAATTCTTCATGACCCCATTTGGGGTTTTCTTGGTAAAGATACCAGAGTATTTGCCATTTCCTTCTCCTGCTCATTTTACAGATGAGGAAACTGAGGCAAACAGTGTTAAGTGACTTGCCCAGGATCACATAGCTAGTAAGTGTCTGAGGCTAGATTTGAACTCAGGAAGATGTGGAGGTTTTGAGTAGGCATTTAATAAATCTTTACTGACCTTGGACAAATCTTTTGACTTCCTTTCATCTCATTTGCCTCATCTGTAAAATGTAGAGGTTGAACGCAGTGTCCTCTGGGTTCTCTCCTAGTCCTGTATCTGTGATCTGTGGTTATAGAGATGGATAAGTTTCTAGGTTTCAGAAGCTCAGAAGAATTCTTTTTTAATGTAAGTAGCTTTTAAAAATGCACATCAGTAGAAAAGCTGTTGACCTGAAGATAGAAGAAAAAAATATTCATTCAGTAGCATTTAATGGAACACAGCCTCCTCCCACCTCACTGTGCACATGTGAAAATCATACATGAATCCTTGAAAAATATAATAACAGATAACTTGTTCAACCCTCTGATTACTAGTATTAAATGAAGTATAAAATAGGAAGATGTATACTATGTATCTTGGCTTTCTTCATTTTTAATTTGTTAATTGTGTGTGTGTAACACTAACTGCTTTGGAAGGAATAGAAAAGAAATAACACATAAAATGTTCAGATATACTTGATGGGACCAAATATACTCATGGGAAACAAACCATTACAAAGCCGTCTAAGAAAGAGAGGCAACATGGTACAGTAGATAGAGTAATTCAGGAGGACTTGGGTTCAGATCTTTGACTTCTGACACATACTAGCTTCGTCACCATGGGCAAATCACTTTCTTTCTCTTCAGTCACCCAGACATCTTGCCAAGAGTATTTGTTGTTGTTCTATATCAGTAGGGGAATTTTGCACACTGAGCATTTCCCACTCCAGTGAAATCACAGGTCTAAACAGAAGGGAAAAACAGAGGAAACTATAGCAAATATTATACATGGATCCTGTGGGAATCCCCTGAAATAATGGCATCAGGATTGATTGGACCATAGTCAGGGAAGACTTCTAGGGAGAAGTTACTTTTGAGAAGGGTTTAGAAAGAAGTTGATTAATGGAGAGGAGAGTATTCCAAGTGAAAAAGAGCAACCTTAGCATAGGCTTCCAGGCAAAGGTGAGCAAAAGAGTAATTTATATTTATGTGCTCCAAAGAAAGAACTATGGAGTGTGAATGCAGATGGAAGCATACTATTTGCTATTTTTTTTTTCTTCTGGTTTGTTTTGTTTCCTCTTTCTTGTGGTTCCTCCTATTGGTTCTAATTCTTCCTTATAACATGACTAATGTGAAAATGTTTAATAGGAATGTATATGTAGAGCCTTTATCAGATTGCACATCATCTTGTGGGGGGGGAGGGAAGGGGAGAAAAATTTAAAACTCAAAAGCTTATGGAAGTGATTGTTGATAAATCAAAATAAATTAATAAGATTTTTTTAAAAATTTGATGTGGCTAGAATAGAGATGACATGTTGGGGAACAATAAAGTTAAGAAGATGAGTTGTTTAAGAGCCTGAAATAAGGATTTAGGATTTGATCGCTCTCTTGATGTTCTTAAATAGATTGATAAAGATTTGATGCAATTCAGCAAACATTTATTGAGAGCCTTCTATTATGTGAAAGGAGGACTTCTCAGCCTGAGTTCTCACAGAGCCCAGAGAGAATCTCTCCTACCAGTAGATCAGATACTCAAACTATCCTGTGGCAGAAAAATAACCAATGAGTTATTAAGTTCCCATAATTGGAAGCATTATTTCTGGAGCCTGTCAGGTTTGATGGTCACAAAGATTATTTTGAAAACAGCAGAAAAAGGTGCAGCTAGGTGGCACAGTAAACAGAGCACTAGCTCAGTCCAGCCTCAGACACTTGGCACTTACTAGCTATGTGACCCTGGGCAAGTCACTTAACCCCATTGCTTAGCAAAAAAAAAGGAAAGAAAGAAAAGAGCAGAAAAAGCTTCATGTTGCACTCATGGATTATATTTGAGTCAGGGTTAGGGCCTCATTAGTGCATCACAGTCAAAATGGAGATTCTTTTTTTTTTTTTTTTTTTTTTTGGCAACTGGGGTTAAGTGACTTGCCCAGGGTCACACAGCTAGTAAGTGTCAAGTGTTTGGTCTGAGGCCGGATTTGGACTCAGGTCGTCCTGACTTCAGGGCCGGTCCTCTATCCACTGTGCCACCTAGCTGCCCCCCAAAATGGAGATCCTTAATCACATACAACAGTTCTAAAATGTCTTTTTTTCACTCTCCACAAAAACTAGACTCTGAGAATACCAACATAGATAAGACAGACCTGCTGTCAGTGAACTTACTAATTAGGAGAAAACGTGGCAACAAATAACTTATCACACAGAAGGGAGAGAGATGAGGGCAAAAGAGAGGAACAGGCAAAGTACTTGGGAAATTTGTCTGCCAGCCTTATGTGGGTTGAACTGGAATAGAGGAGAGACTGGAAAGAGGGAAACCAGCCAGGAAACTCTTGAATAACTCCAGGTGTGAAGGAATCAGGGGACAAATCAGAGAAACCACAAACTATAGGGAGAACACGTTTAGTGTTTGGATACAAGAAGAAAAAGAGAACAGAATGGTTCCAGGATTACGGTCCTTGGAGTCAATATTGGAGACACCTCAACCCTCCATGGGGCTGTTACAGTCACATAGGATCAGAGTTTTAGAACTGGAAGAGACTTTAGAATTCTAGTCCAACTCCTCTCCTTTTACAGGTGAGGCCAAAAGAGCACAAACAACCTGCCCAAGGTCACCCAGGTAGCAAGACAGTATTTGAACCTAGCTCCAAATTCAGAGATGTTTCTGTGCACCAGGGGGGGCGTTCCCTAGTGAGGCATGATATCGACTTTTTAGTAAATATGGATCTCATTTATGTGACGCTACAGTGTTCTGGGGTTGGTGCAATGAGTGCATTATCATGACCAGCCCACAAGCCTGCCTACTGGCCCATGTCTACATATTTTTATAAGACTAATCAGCCCAAGGCATCTTTGATGAAGGTCTGAAAAAAGAACAGGCAAGCCTTTTTCAGACTAGATTAGGGCAGAATAGATGAAGCATTAATTGCTTGGGGGCAGCTAGGTGGCACAGTGGATAGAGCACCGTCCCTGGAGTCGGGAGGACCTACATTCAAATCCAGCCTCAGGCACTTGACATCTACTAGGTGTGTGACCCTGGGCAAGTCACTCAACCTCATTGCCTAGCTTCCCCCCCCCCCCCCAGAAAAAAGCATTAATTGTTTGGCTCTTTGCTAAATTCTGGGAATACAAACATGGAATTGTGTTCCATTCCAGTGGGGGAAGACTGAGTGCATTAGAAAGAGTTAGATAGGGGAGTGAGGGAGGGAACCTGGTTTGGAAATGGTTGGGAAAGCATAGGGATGTGTATGTGTGTGTGTGTGTGGGGGGTAAACAAGTACAGTGGGATCTTGTATTGGGTGTGTATAATATGTATGTGTATATATGTACACATAGTATTGTTCACTATATTTTTTAAAAAAAACCATTACACTTGGTAGAACAAAATACCAAAAAACATTAGACTTGGTAGAACAAAATACCTTTAAGGTCTGGCTTTCTTCTGACAAAATTGTCACCCATGCATATGTCAAAATCATATCGAATCTTTGGAAAATGAATTAAAGGGCAACTTATACCCCCTGATTATTATCAGGTGAGGCACAAAATAGGAAGATGTACAACATCTTTCTTGGCTCTATTCTTTTTGAATTTGTTAATTTGGGGACCAAGACTGAGTTGGTTTACTTTTTGCTGTAAAAAAAGGGGGGGTGTTAAAAAGAAAATTAATAATAATAATAAACAAGGTTTTAAGAGAGTTTTTTTTTTAACTTAGTAAGACTAGGAACTGTTTTTGAGTGCTTTAAAATCAATTATGTTGCTATTGATACTCCATTTTCAAATCTGCTAGTCCATGTCTAGCTAGACCTGGTCTCAGACTTGGGTTCAAGTTCTAACTGTGAAGAATGCTGGGTGTATGACTCTAGGCATGTCATTTAAACTCTCAGTTCTCTGGACAACTCTTCCAGATGATACATTGCAGAGAAGGTACTAACCCTCTTAATTAGTAAAGAGTTTCCTCATCCTGGGAGTTTCCTACATCTCCCTATCTTATCTCTTCATTAAAAACCAGTCCTAAAGGAACACAGTTTGCCAGTCCTTGGCTGGCTCAGCATGCATACTGCCCTTGAAAAGAATAAATTGCCTTTCTTTGAATGTTTGTTTATTTGTGGGTTTTTTTTTTTAAAGTAAATTATGACCTTTGCGAATTAGTCTAAAATGATAACATTTTATTATATTCATAGACCTGGATTTTCTGGAATGTAACAGTTAAATATGAAATATTCCTCGCCATTTGATGGTTTTTAACTACAAGATGTATAGCTGTAATATGCTTTTATGGGATTTGGATACATAGT